TGCAGGCTGTAGATAAAAATATTTCATTACGTAGTAATTTCTACTCATGTACGTTCTTTTACGTTGAAATTGCTAAAGTTAGAACAAACTTGGATATAACTCTCTAAAGAGTCATATTAGAGGATTTAGTTTCATATATCGTGAATGTAGATTCAAAGGAATACTAAATATTAGATTTGTTTAATTTTGCACTATTAAGATAAAATGTATTAGCTATTGGAAAATACTTATCTATATTGTGTTATATTGTACGGGCAACTAATATTAGATTGTGACAAACTTGGTCAACATTGTTTTATAATAATATTTTTTTAAATCCCTTATAAAGATACCTACATGTTATACTATATACAGGATGCGCCAACTTATATAAAATAAAATATAATAATTAATTATATAATTATAGATTAATTATTATAGATATAATAATATATAAAATTAATTATATCTATAATAATTAATATATAGAACTTTAGTAATTAATTATATCTATCATTCTTATGTGCAATATTTTCAAATTGATTACCACTTGCATTACGGTGAAGAAAACATCGTGAGGAAACCTGCATGTCTGAGAGAACCTAGCAAGTTTCCGAAAGACATGTGAAGTCCGCCAACACTCACCAGCGTGATGGAAAATGGCCTGACTCCTTTCATATTCAAGAGAAGTCCAGTCCAACAGTGGGACGTTAAAAGGAATGAATATTAACATAAATACAAATACAAAATCGATACGCTATTGAAAATAGTATACTTGTAAATAAATAATTTTATTCCCTAGATAGTGCTTTGTTATTTTCGAACAGATCGTTACTTCGCCTCGATTGTTTTAAACAATGTTTTGTAAAACTCTCCTTATAGATTTGAGTTGGCCAATAAACTAAAGTTGTAAAGAAAAATATCTCTATGTCTCTGTGTAGTAAAAACAAGTTGATTAAGTTTTCGACTTTTGTTTAATGTTTATTCTTATTTAAAGAAAAATCGGACAAGTGCGAGTCTGAGTGGCTCATATTTATAAGTACTTGGATTCGAACCAGTGATCCCAAATTTGAAATCCAATTGCTTTGACCAGCAGGCCATCAGGACATTAGATACATTACTTGCATGTCAGTAAGCATTCGTTTTACTGTTCAATGATGCATTACCCTATAGGTGTTTACTTGGACTATAAATACATACTTTACTCCTTCTGTAAGTCTGTTCTAACGGTTAATTATGACGTGCTTGTTTTATTTATTTCTAAGGTATATAAAGGTCTAGACATTTTTTTATAGTTTATTGTTAAAAGTTAAGTCTACGTTGGTATATCAATAGAAAATAGGTTGTGTAGAAACGAAATTTAAGTTGTTTAGTGTTCCTAGGCGTTTAATAGTAGCCTATAAGTTATTCCAGGTCATAATTTATTTTTGTACTAGATTTCATCCAAATCTGTCCAGCCGTTTTAACTTGAAGAAGTAACAAACAGATAAACAGACGTACAAACCTTTGCATGTATAATATTAGTCTGGATTATCGTAATATATATAAAATATAAAAAAGGACTTCACTTGAGTTATGTACACATTGTATCCTCAATAGGAAAAAGTTACAATATTTTCAACGGAAATTATTTTGAAGACGTTGAGTAATTTTTGAGACATAGGATATTTTCGGTACCACTCATTAGGTCATAAAAATAACTCTGTTTTCCATAGAATTCCATGAAACACAATTATGCCAAAGCAGCTGATAAAATGGATACTGTACGAAATATTCACAAATTTAACTTTTCCCATATTATCAAATTTTGACTTTTGCTACGTATTATATTATGTTACTCACCTTACAGGATAGTCTTCAACAAAAATATGATTTTGGCAAATAAAATAATAATTTCTAGTTGTATGCTTTATTTCCGAAGTACTTTTGTATTTAATAAAGTTATAACATGTTATATGATTGATTGAACTTACTTTTCCATGCGATGTAGAAGATTGATGTCTTCTGGTTTTATTGCTAAAAGGGTTAAGACCCCAAGGACAGATTATAGTCGATAAACGCGGTGATTGGTAACTTTAATAGAATATTTATTTCATAGATACTTTTAAAACATACGGATGTTGATTCTTAGACTATACGGATGTTGATTCTTAGACTTGTTAAAAATTACATATTTATTATTTATTAGTATCATTATTTTATTATAATTGTTGAAGTTTGTATGAGTGTATGTTTGTTTCCTTTATGGGACGACTCCTCGATACAAGTGTGAGTTGAGTTTTACTTCCCAACTACGGACTGTTACTTAGAATTTTTTACAGAAATACTCAATAACTTAACTTGATCCGAGCCGGGATTCGAACCCATTACCTTCGGATATGCGACCGTACATATTAGCTTCTAGACTAGTATGAAATGTAGTACACACATAGTGTATGGTCTGCAGTAAAATATAGTGTACGGTAAGTAAAAAACTTTACACAAAGGCAGACAGAGATGCATCCGAGCGAGTATTTCGGATGACGATACTATATAGATACTACACAGCTGATTCATTGATCATGGAGTTAGGAGTATAGTGACATCTTCAAGGGCTATTGGTAAACCTCTCGAATAATAACATAATATTTTGATTAGTTTTTATGATGCTCATGTATATCATAGTTCATACAGACAGACACACAGCTAGCCTTCATGTATTGTATGATTCAACTAAAATAAAATAATTTAAATAAAATAAATTTATTACTAATTAAATAATAAAAATATTTCATAGGAAACTTTAATAAACCAAAATATATTTTATAAAATTATTCAAAATATAACGTTTTGTGAAAGTTACACTGAATATCTCTGTAACAATATTTAGCGACTTATTTAATTAAATAAAGTGAATAATATATTATTATACCATATTTAAATATATATATATATATATATATATATAATAATAAAATCTGCCTAAAATCATTGATCAAAAAAGTACTAGATATACAATCCCATGCAAAACTTCTCTTAAAACTGTTACCAATTGTGTTTAGGTCATTCTAGTTGAAATAAATATACAAGTTAAACCTTAAATGCAATGCTTATAGTTGTATTCACAAAAAAATAATTAAAAGCGCGCTCAAATGTTCAAATAAGCGCTCATTCGGTGAGGACATTTTTGTCGCTGATTGTGTATATAGTACTTTTTTGATCAATGGCCTAAAATATAAATATGCAGTAGTACTAGTGCAAGCGGTCAACATAGTATATTTAAGAAAAGCTAAACTGCTAACTTTTAACTAACTTGCTAACTTTTTTAATCAAAAAATTACATTAAAATCGGTCTAACTGTTTCGGAGTTGCGATATCATACAGGCAGAAAGAATTCCAATGAATAGCTTGTAAAGGAGACGACTAAAGCTTAACAATACGTTACAATAAACAATGGATCAAATGCATTAATGTGTCATAATTATGTGACGTACCTATACATATATTTTAAAAGCACATCCTGCTTTTAATTCTAATAGAAAGACTTTTAGACAAACGGTTTATCGGACGACTAAATGTCGTTTAATGTAAATGCATATTAAATAATGTTCTCCCGATCGGTTTCGGCAACGGCGGCCAATTTCATTGAGACTAGCCATCTGCGCAATACCTCCATATTATTATAGTGCACAAGTGACAGACATAAACGCACTCTCTATTCCTGTCACTCTCATACTCCGGTACGAGACGACCAGTGAGAGTTAAGGCGCAGAACCGACAGCTATACGTGCACTCTGAGACACGGGGGTGAAACACCGCCAACTTCCCAACACCGGGCTGTCACTAAGGCTTACTAAATAGAAAGACTCAATAACTTAACTTGGCCCAACCCAGGATTCGAACATAGGACCTCCGGATATGCAGCCGTACATGTTAGCCACTACACCACCGAAGCAGTATAAATACTGTGTGAAGGTATAATGATATCTTTGATCAACTTTCAAATTATACGAGTATATTCAAATGTTCATTTCGACGTGTAGGTATATTATTAAAACTACTGAAGTATTTTTTTGCAGATCAGTTTTATAGACACCTAAAACAAACAATGATAACAAAATACATATTTTTAAGAAGAAAAATCATAAGCAAAATCTATAGGTAAATATATAGATAAAAAAGTGCTGTCGTTACTCAAAAACATGGCACTTTATCAAACAACATTTAATTATAAATACCTGTATATTAAGTTATGTGTAGTGAGAGTATTTTATAAATAACTAGCATTGCCCGCGGCTCCGCCCGCGCTCAGATGACCAAAAACCAAATTCTTAGAATTAACATAGTATTAGTATATTCTTACATTGCAGTTTTTGTATTTTTTATGTAGATAACCAGCTATCACCATACCAAATTTCATCAAAATCCCTCCAGTGGTTTTTCTATGATGCGGTAACAGACAGACAGACAAAAATTCTAAAAACTATAGATTCGGCCTCTGTATCGATAATGATGTTTATTTCAACAAGATTTTCCAAAAAATATCTAATGCCAAAAATAACATTGAAGATAACGTCGTCTTAGTGTTTATTTGTGCAAATAACCAATTTATCGTAAGAGTTTTTAATACAGAATCATTTACTTTACCAATTCTATTGGTATTAAATACACATTTTACTTAAATAAAGCTAAAAAATTTATTTTATCTGTATATGTATTAAAATCTTAAATATAAAGGTTTTTTTAATGTAGAGGAAAAAGCTCTCTACTGTAAAGTGCAACAAGTATTGGTCGTTTGTACAAATAAGCAGTATGGCGATGATAAGTATAACCTATAATAGTATTGTATATATTTTTGTACTGTTTATGTTGTTGCATTATGATACATATAGAAATATTATGACTTTATAATTTTAATACTAATTTTATTATTTTACAGGCGTTTTGTAGGATTACTTGTTTATAACTAAACTGCGACATTTTACTAAAGTATTGATGTTAAAAATCTATATGCGGACAGTGTTTTTTTTAAATATATTTCAAGTTTCGGTCGTCCCGTTTTCTTTTCCCGCATCTTCGTAGCCCTTGACTAGGTTCTCTAATATGAATCGTATGGTCATTTTGTATATATTCTCGATGTTCGGGGTGTATCTGTCACCTAAAGTAGTTTTTGCCGCCTCCAAAAAAGGTTGCTCAATTTTCTGTAAGGAAAAAGATATTTTTTGTTAATTTGATATATGTATGTAGGTTAAATTTTTTTTATTAACATACTATTAAATATTTTTGGTACCAACATTAAACTGACTTAAAACTTAAATTATATCTATCTTCTATCTATATCAATAAAAATGAATCACCGAAATGTATGTATGCGCATGTAACATCCGATCGTTTGCACCAAATTGGATAATTCTTTTTTTTTCGTTTGTTATAGTCAGGACAAGCTTTGTATAGCAGAAAATTTAAAAAAAAATTGAGGTTTTTTTAAATTTGTTAAGTGAGTGAAATAATACCCTATGTCTTTCCCAGAGTCTCAAACTATCTCCTTACCTTTCATATAAATCGATTCAGTAATTTCGGAGCCTATTCTGTACAAACAAACCAGCTAAAAAACAAAAAAACAAATTTTTCCTCATTATAATAATAGAATAGATGTCAAATATTCGGGTAAATCTAAGAAGGTACTATATTTCTATGACTTTGATTGCATATTAATACGATTTGATATAGTTCGTCACATGGATGCACGCAATACCGATGCTGTCTGAGGAACATCTCTGTGACCTGTGGGAAGTAACCCCAGTGGTATTCGACTATCATTTAATTACAAACGTTAGAGATGAGAGTTCGACGTTTGCTAAGCTTTATGTAAGGTATAATTGAAACGGTTTTATTTATTTTTTGAACGGTTACTAGTTACTGTCAGTGGCTTTACTTGTAAGTATGTTTCTATTGTAATAACAAAATAAATTAATTCTTTCTTTATAAAGCGTAAAGGACGAGTAGATTGAAATAAAAATTTACTAGATATCAATCTTGTGTTTCGTGATACAGTATACTATATATACATAGATTAATATAACTATATTATTGGATTATATAACCATAATCAAAGGGATTCTAGGGCTTACTAATTGCTTATTTTTGGTCTGGTACAAATGTAGAGATAGCAAAAAAACCTATTTGATATGAAGCATACAATAGAAAGTAGAGTAAAATGTTAGGTTCGAACCCAATAGATATTTTCCAGACTTTTAGAAACAAGTCTAAATATTATTTGTACAAGTTAAAATTATAAACAAGGATGTATAACTGAGAATCGCAATTACACAACAGTACGTGTCGATCTTGAGAAAAGTTAGCCGAGTTTTAATTAGAGTTTTCAATATAAAATGAACTACCTATTTTCTTTTTATAAAAACATTGCAAGTTGTTGAATGTTTTGGTAAATCATGAAATACATTTTGCTCGTTCCTTAACGTGGGTTTTTTAAAAAGTGTTTTTTGTTGATGATAGCACATTTGTTTAGCATTATGGTTTCTAAATTAGCAATAAATCAATTACTAAGCATACCATAAAGTTCTCCGCCTTGAATCCTGGTACTTGTTGATGAGTAGCACCAACATGTCTAACATATGTGAAGAAAGCGTCCATATCAGCCAGCCCCTTGATGCCTTCGTCAAGGGTGTGCATCACCTTAGTAGCGTGCTCTGCTAGTTCTGCAGACGATACTATAGCTTCCTTGGTGCGAAGCTCACGAAACTTCTCAAAAAGGTGCATCAGTTCTTCGTTTTCCTCGAATAGTCTGTAATTCGATGAATCTTCATGAATAAATGATAGTTGAAATAGTGATACATGGATTTTGTTTTATAGATCTTTAGTGAAAGAACATATCTAATACCTTTAAACGAGCAATTCTTGCTTATTTATTTCTTTATTTATTTATACCGGCGATCACGGAAACGGCTCTAACGATTTTGCTGAAATTTGGTATGTGGAGGCAAAAAATCGATCTAGATTAGTCTTATGTCTAGGAAAATGCGTATTGTCGAGTTTTCATGCGCTTTTCTTTCGCATTATTCCATACAAAATATGGGCGCTAATTTTGCACGCTCGAGCATAAGCATCGTGGCGTATTTGTATTTTTGACTTTTAAAACGTGAAAGTCAATGGCAATAGATTGCCTATCAAGCGCGATCAACTTCTAAGTTTTTTTTGATATATTGACATAATGGTCACAACCCAGCGAGGGTGGGTCGCTATTGTAAAAAAAAAACTATCTTCTGCTAAGGGTGCGTTTTTTATACAGTTATGTTCAAAGCAATGATTATAATATATATCTTTGTTCATAAAGTAAACAATTTATTTAATACTTTATATATATTAGTAATTTAATGCTTAAACTGAATATAGATGCACATACAAAACAATATAAAAATAAAAGGTTTATAAGTTATAAACCTAAAAAAAATCAAATAAATGTTAATAAACTCGTTAATGAACGAATGAATCTTGGTAATGTTTCTAAATCAGGAGAGAGCTATTCAATTTAGCTCATTAAAACCCTTCTCTAGTAATTCGTGCGCAAACAGATAACACGGACGCTAATAATTGTTTTGGTTCTTACTTCATTAAAACTTTTTAATAAATTTGTCATTTTATAACGTTTAATCTGGCAACTTTGTTATTTTGAGATACTAGCGATTTAGCCTTGTTTTGCTCGCATGTGTTCTTAGGTAGGTAAAGTAACGAATATAATATATATAAATATATATATATATATATATATATATATATATATATATATATATATATATATATATATATAAAATTGTAATTAAGCCTAATCTGTACATGAAATATTTTTTGGAAAATTTTATTGAAATAAACATTATTATCGATACAGAGGCCGAATCTGTAGTTTTTAGAATTTTTGTCTGTCTGTCTGTTACCGCATCACAGAAAACTCACTGGAGGGATTTTGATCAGGTATGGTGATAGCTGGTTATCCGGGTCAACATATAGGATACTTTTTACCGCGGGAAAATGATTTCTAAGAAAAAATACAAAAACTGCAATGTAAGAATAAAAAAAAACAAAGAATTTTAAAATCTAAGAATTTGTATACATAGATTTGCGAAGAATAAGCTTAAAATTTCCCAAGAAACCGCGTTATCACTGCTTATTTCGCCGTGGCATCTAATTAATTTCAATAAGGAAATCGTATTTAAGAACAAAATTGATAACATTATCAAAATTATCATAGAAAATGTACCTACAATATAATGAAAATAAATGTATCTTTTACTTTGGGTCTTAACTTTCATTGAAGAACAACCCTCGGGGCTGAGGGTAAACATTTAATAGAATTTTGTATACACATAACAAAAATGTTATGTCCATTTGTTCATTTATTAGAAAAGTTTTACTTAAAGAAAGTATACATTGTAAAATTTTATATTAGCTTTTTCATTAGTTATTGCTTATATTATATTTAATGCTTTATAACGTTGTTTGAACGACAAAACTTTTTCAACCACAGTTTTTTTTAATATAAGTGTAATATTGGAATAATTACAGGTTTAAAATGAAAAAAAAAGCGATTATATTTTATGTATGTTATGAATTCTGCCCTTTTTCAACCGACTTCCAAAAGGAGGAGGTTCTCAATTCGACTGTATTTTTTTTTGTTTCTTTTTTTTTTATGTTTGTTACCTCAGAACTCCGTCATTTATAAACCGATTTGGACAATTTTTGTATTGTTTGAAAGTGTATACTTCCAGATTAGTCCCATTTAAATTTCAAAAAAAAAATACCACCCCTAAGGGTGGAAAAATAGCTAATGATGAATTTAACCTACTTCTAATTGTCATATTGACTTGAAACTTTGCAAGTGTTTCTATTTCCGTTGATAGTACAGTGGTTCGGTATTGTTGACCTGATCTGATGGTAAGGCCAGAAGGTGGATAGGTGGAACTCTTCAACGGCTTATTGTAGATACTTTGAGTTTGGGCTTGTTTTGTTTGATTTGACAAGCCTAATACGTTAGAATTCTTACTTTGCTACTACTGTCTACACTAAAAAGGGAAAAATAAAAACTTCTTAGCAAAAAAATAAAAACCGACTTCAAACAAAAGCACTAAAAAGTAAAAAATAACTGATTGGTAGTTTTCATTTACTATACATACCTAATCAAATATTTTCGAAGTCGGTGTGCTTTGGCTAAGTAATTAAAGCCTACCTATTAAATACATACCTTATCAAATATTTTCGAAATCGGTGCCAGCCCATATAAAGCAAAGATTTATTAATTTATAAAGCAAATTATACAGAAAAATGTAAAATTTTGCACTTTTACCGATATCATAACACTTAAATGAACTCCAAAGACTTTCTGCGGTATATTGTTAAAGCTTGGTTTAACTTTCATCGCAATATCTACATTATCTTTTCATTTTATTATTTAATACTATAATAATGAGTTGAAGGAGGCCTATGTTTAAGATGGCGTCGTGGTTGAGTGCGCCTGATCCCCTCGTATTGAAGGGAGGCCCGTGTCCAGCAGTGGGACGTTAAAAAGGGCTGAATACATACGCAAGTTAAGCTTACATTATAAATTAAAATATGTACTTACTAAAATTATGTTAGTAGCTATATGACTAAATATTAACTAGTATAAGTATAAGAGTATAGGTATAAGATAAATGTTGTATTTGTCAGTGAATTAAAGGCTTTAATTAAGTTAAATTTATTTTTTTATTTTAATCTATACATATAATAAAATTCGGAGTCGAATCTGTACATTAAATATTTTTTGGAAAATATTATTGAAAAATCTGGGAACGCATCACGAGAAAACCACTGTCTCAAAACGTAGGGACGAACCCGAACGGAGCGAGGGTGAGTCGCTAGTAATGTACCTATATTTAGGTACAAACGAAAAAATAGTATCTAATTTAAACTTTGGCTATAGCAATTATGATTTTATAAGTCCAACTTATAAGGACACGGTGTTCTAGTGGTCTTGTAGTCCTACTACAATTAAATAGAAGTGCGCTTGTCAAATAAAACACAGCTGTTTAAGGGGCGCAGATAGTTTGCTTTGCCCGAACAAACGATCTCGACCTTAGGCATCTGTGTACTATAAGCGTAAAGATATATAAAGCTATAAAATATGTTGTTAGTTAATATACAAAAAAACATATCTTTGTTTAGGTAGTTAGCTTTAGTTAGCATGATAAATAAATTTCTTCTACAGGTGTTTTTTTACACTTAAAAGACGATTTCAACCTGGTTTGTAAGTGTCCAGGATCTTAACTATTTCGTACCAAATTTCATCTAAATCGGTTCAGCGTATTTTAGTTTATCAATCACAAACAAACATACAAAAAATATTTTTTTTCTCTTTATAATATTAGTATGGACGAAGCGTTAGTACCAGTGGCTAGCTAGTTTAAGGGTGTGTGTTCGCTACAAAGTTAGAATTGATTTCTAACTCCTAACAAGTTACTTAAAGTGTGCTCGTGACCACTCGACTGGGATTCATGCAAATGTACTATATATTTAAACTACTTTATCCAAGGATAGTTTTAGTTTTGACGACACGTTTGGCTCAGTTTGTAATGACCCTACTTGCTGTGCTAGTAGTCGCGTGTTCGAGTCCCGCTGAGGGCATTCATTTGTGTGATGAGCACGAATTATTGTACTCTGCGCTGCGTATTATAATACGTATATTTTTTATAATATATATTTATTATAATAAAGTAGGCATTACTTTTTTAAATTTCTGAGTCGAATCTGTACATGAAATTTATTTTAGAAATTTTTATTGATATAGTCATTATTATTGATATAGAGGCCGAATTTATAGTTTTTAGAATTTTAGAATTTTTGTCTGTCTGTCTGGGAACGCATCACGAGAAAACCTCTGAACTGATTTTGATGAAATTTGGTATGATGATAGCTGGTTATCCCGGTCAACAAATAGAATTCTTTTTATAGCGGGCAAATATCTCATCATAAATATAATAATAATTATTTATATAACATTAAATAACAACAAAAAACAGCATTTTCTCAGCATAAAATTATTATTTGAATCTGCACAGCAATTTATTTTATTGTAAAGTTTTAAAGATTATGATTATATATTTTGTGGTATATACTATTAATAAATAAACAAAGACAAAATAGTTTGTGTTTGTAGTGTTTTTCTCCTCTGTTTGTCAACAGATTTTTTTTTGTTTAGTAGCTTTTGATGAACTTTTGGAAAAAGTTAGTTTTTTTATATAGATATGTAAATGGTATTCAAATTATTCAATTCAATTTTCTTGTTAATGGCTCTTTAAAATATATGTTTACCTCAAATTTTCAATTATAATTATAGAAGAGAAAAATAGATCAATTAGTATTTTAAAAGATTCACTTAATTCAAGAAAAGCATGAGTTCTTAAGGATCCATGAATTCCTTTCAATAATGAAGGGTGCTTAAATATTTTTTTAATAATGTATATGGTATTTCAGAGGTATCCATACTTTTAATATTATAAATGTGAAAGTGTGTTTGTTTGTTTGTCCCTCTTTCATGTCAAAACAGAGTGATGGATTGTTGTGATTTTTTGTGTGGAGATAGTTGGTTGGAGACTGACGTAGACTTTTTACCGTGGGAGATTATCTCATTCCCCGTCGAAAACAATGCAATGCAACCCAAAAAAAAATATTTATTATCAAAATTATGATTAAAGCCTTCTCCATAATGTCTATTTCACTGGTTTCCATCATAGTGTATCAATTTGGGAAATTATG